CAAATTATATAGGTATAAACAAAATAATATATAATATAATATAATATAATATAATATAATATAATATAATATAATATAATAATAACTGCAGTCACTCTATAATTATTTTTCTTTCCATCCCCTTCTTCATATGCTTTTTTTACTGTTTATTTGAATATGATTAATTTGTCTTCATAGAGCATGTGGGCAGTTCTAAAAATCTGTAAAACAAAATTTTCAAGATCAATAACTATACTGATTAAATGTATTAGCAAGGATATTATATAAAACATATCTTTTGACTTTTACCTCCATCCTGATGTTAACTACCATGCTGTACAAATCCCAATACTAAAAAAAATAAAAAAAAAAAAAAAAAAAAAAAAAAAAAAAAAAAATTAAAGTTTCAAGAAGATGCCAGACTGGATACTGGATAAATAACTCCACAAAGGTTTTAAATCAATTTATGTAATTCAAATTCAGGGTTTAATTTTATGGTAAATTTAAATTCTATCATGAAGAATGTTAGACTCTATACATCTCTTTTGACCTCATAATTCTAACTGTAACAAAAATCTGTTTTTCATAACAAATAATTATGAACAGATCATATTCATTGAAAACATTCTATCTGTGGTGGAAAAAAAGATGTTGTTCAACAAAGGGAAAAAATCCCTCATCATATTCAGCAAAAACCACAAAGCCATGAAAGTCCTCAGTATTTAGATTGGAACTTCTTCATTAAGTTACAGCAGTCACCTACACTGCTCTAGCAGCAAAATCCAAATAACTAAATAACTAAATAAAATAAAACAAAACCAAATGAAAACGCGGAGAATCCTTTGGCATAGGTATGTAAAAAATGAAAGGACCCACCAAAAAATTCCTTTTACCCTGCCTGGTTGATAGCAGGCAGTCCCAGAGCTAGGTCAGGTTCTGGAGCTGAGTACCTGGAGCACCTGGCAGCCTGGAGCCAGGGATGCTGCTCCAGGGATGCTGCTCCAGGGATGCTGCTCCAGTGCTCAGTGCAGCTCATGCCAGAGCCCCAGCAATCAGATCAAGTCAGCAGGAAACCCATCAGATGGGCAGCTCGCAGCAAAACCCAGAGGGCTGCAAGAGTGGAAAGGCAGCAGGGGAGGAGAGCAAACAAGAGACGCTGAAATCGCAAACAGCCAGAACAAACAGCGGCAACGGGGAAGAGCAGTTTAAGAAACAAACACAAAACTGAACCACACAAGGCTTTATTAGCAAGACAAAGCACAGAGAGCTTCAGGCAGGCTGAAAGGCAAGCAGGAGTTAGTGATGGATTTCAAACACTCGGCTCCAGAATAAAATTAATTCAGCAAATAAAACCTGTCTCTGGGAAGGAGATTATTTTATCACCTATTTTATATTTGTCCTAATGCTATCTGATAGAGATTAAAAATTCTGAAAATCATTCCAAGAAGAGAACCTGACAGAAGGATAAGTCAGCTGGTGAGCCAAATAACCTGCTCAGCAAAGAACCATTGGAGATTATTAATAAGAAGCATCCAGAATAGAAGTGTGACTTCACAAAAACCTCTGTTTTAAGAAGAGACAAATACTACCTCTTTCAAAATAAAGGAGAGGTTCTCCTTGGTTTTTTTTTTCAATTAAGCTACAGGATGAGGTACCTCTTATTAGACCCTACAAAACAGCTCATAGACAGTCAGACATTCTTCCAGGCTGATTGAACTATTTCCTATGGTCAGAGGTATTGATATGGGGTATCAATTCCTGTCTGTTCCAAAAGAGATGGGTTACCATACCCATCAGGACATTCTCCTTTCTCCTCATGGATAATGGAGAACATAATGAAGTTGTAGAGGACAATGCTAAACTGGATAATCCTGCAGCATGTGAACCACCTTAGCTGAGAAGAGACCTTCAAATTGCTGTGTCAAAAGCTGACACCAGAGCTGAGTGTGTCCTTAGCATGGAAACTGGAGCCCTCAGGTGAATACAAACCACTAAGCCTCATGTTCACACGTATTTTCTCTCTGGCTCACTGAATCATACAGGATTTTCTGCCTAAAATAACCCAGGTCAAGGAAACTCCTTGTATGTGAGAATAGATTCTGAACTGGTTCAGACCTCAAGTGTTGTGGGTGAATGCTTTAACTGTGAACAAGTAAACACAGAGAGAGATTTTTGTACCAGCAGCCCTTCAGCTCCCTGCTCTGAATGCAATAAGCTATTTTTGGGTGGAGGGAGTGGGACAGGTCTGTTGTTGTTTTTTTTAATTGACCTCTATTCTTGAGGCAAGTCAAGTAGGGCATGAGGAGAAGGTATGGTGCTCCATCTCCTCTGTGAAGTACAGGAGAAATAGCTACTCTTTATGATGGCAGAGTCTGACCAGGTTATCTTTGACCTGAAAGACACGCTTCCCACAAGGCAGGATTTGCCAAGTGCCTCCTCACATTTCATACAATGTTTACATCTCATTTGTAGGTTTTCCCATTATTGGCAAGACAGAAAGGTTCAATAAGGAGGTCTCTAACCAGATAAAATATGAAACCAAATCACAACGTTGCAAGTTCAGTGTGTATGTTAATCAGAATTTTCAGAATTAATTTAATCAGAATTAATGTTTTCTCTAGTCTTTTCTGACACCTGTAGGAAAATAGGAATTGTTGAGAGCAGAGGGCAAATATCACTTCTGCATATTCCAAGACAAGCAGTGACCTGTGGGAATTCAAAGAGTGCTGCCACACAGCCTGAGTGGAAGGCTTTGAGGAAGGATGACTAAAAAAACTTCCCAGATTCTGCAATTAGCCATGTTATAATGACTGTTAAGCCTGCTTCTTTCTGCATTTCTGCATATGCACAGATTCCACTCTCTGCTTCAAAAAAATTACCTGTTAGCACTGGTTACTCACTAACAAACAACCAATATATGTGATTAAAAAGAATTTCATTGTGGCATCAATTCTCTTTAAAAGGAAAAGGAGGGGTGGGCAGAGGAAGAGAGGGAGAGAGAGATGCTGTAAGTTCAGAAGCAAAACACTGTTATTATTCTGAAGCAGGAATGACATCCTTGCATTAACACAGCATGAAATCATGGTAGCAATTTTCATGCTGTATTATTTTGCTTTTGTCAGGTCACCGATTTTCAATTTCATCAATACTATATGAAACTGAGGAAGATAATATAATGAAAAGCATCCACTCGGAGGCCAATACCAAAGCAAGTACACGTTGCTTTTTTTTGTGAATTTAAACCAACCAATCCACACACAGAAAATATGTGTTATTATTGTCCCCAAGTAACATAAATACACCAAACCCAGAGGTTACAAAAAAGACAATATAAAAAAGTAAACCTGATACATTACTAACTGTATGTTACTATGGTTTACAGGTTGATCTTTACTTTTCTCTAACATGCAAAATAGACAAAGTATAAAGCAAAAAGCTACAGCAGGCTTTGTTTACACTGATCTAAACCCATGTTTTTGGGCTTTTCCCAGGCATAATTTATTTAAAGTGAATTTTCCATTTAAATCATCTCAGATTTAGCTTACTGATTCTCAACACCCAGCTGTCCCTCTGTGTTTTGACTGTATCATTACAACTGCTCTGAGGTCTCCTAAACAACAAGTTATGGAAAGATACAGGAATAAGAGTGAGACATAAAGTGAGTGTTATTTTCAAAGCAAGCCCACCAAGCCCCACCCATGAGGATGCCACTCCAGGAAGAAAAGCTCTCAGAGCTGCATTTGGGTAGCAGAGAAGTGCTTAGAGATCCACCTCTCCATTTGGAAGCATTGATGAGGTACTTTGCCTAGAGAAGGGAGGAAGAGAGAACAAAAACCAAGGAGCTATCACATAAAAAACATACAAATGTATTGTAAATGCAGGGGAACCCAATGGGAAGAAATGATGATGACTGACTCATGAATTATTTCTTTATTATAACTATGCTAAAATACATTAATATACTATATAAAAGGAGGATACTAAAACTACATACTTTAACACAAGTCGTGACCCTCTCTGAGAGCCCAGCCCCAGGTGGGTTGGATTGGATTGGGTTGGATTGGATTGGATTGGGTTGGCCACCAGGCTCAAACAATCCTTACCAGAATCCAACCAAGCAATCACCCCAGGGAAACAATTCTCCAAACACATTCCACATAGGAAAAACAAGGAGCAGAAATAGAAATTGTTTTCTCTTTAATTTCTCTCCGTGCACCTCAATGAAAAATCCTGAGAGGGAGAGAAATGTGCTGCACACAAATGGGTTTGGAGTTGGGCATCTTGGCCATGAAGCACGTCAGTGTCTGCTTCTCTAATTTTCAACTGTTTCATCAGGTTCTAAATCCCTGAGCACTTACCTGAGCATCCTCAGAAAGCCTCAACCCAAGAAACTTTCTTATGAAGGAGGTGCCAAACTTTCAGTTTTCCTCTCAGGCATACCCCTGTGTAAGATCAGAGGGGATTTTCCAAGGAGATATGTGCAACTTATTTTCTCAGAGAGGACTGGAAGCCCCTAAGTTCCTTCCCCAGTGGAGGAAAAGGGCAGCAGGGAGAGGGATGCACCCAGTCCTACTGCCTTTGTGGTCCAGTTGTATCCACTGCAGGCACACCCCTCACTGACCCCAGTCCTGCTGCTCTCATTCCCCAGAACTCTCCTGAAGCACTGAAGAAATCCAAGTCATTTGGATTTCTGGAAGGGACACAATGCCCAGCCCTATTGTGGATGGTGAGGAATGAGCCATCCCATAGTGAACACAGCCTCCTGAGAGGGCAGCAGCACCTCCACCTTCTTTGTAAGAGTTGAAACGTGAGCAATTGCTGTGATATCCTCCATTGTCCTACAAATAATGGCAGCCATATGTTTCCCCTATTAAAATGCTGCGGGAGACCTTCCATGATTTTTTTATAAAACTGGATCCTTCCCATGGCTATTTGAAAATAATTAGTCCTTCTTCAACACTGAATGATTAAAATGTAACTAACACCACACTTCTTTCACACGATCAATGTTGGTACAATGAATAGTGCATGAATTAATAATGTCTAGGCACTTTTTCTAATTGTTTCCTAATGTTCTGTTATTATATATTCATTTGATATTCACTGCAATGCTAGTGAGCACCATTTTTTAAAATTTGTTCCACAAAAAAAATCACACTGTTTGCCTTTGCTTTCTGCAAAAGAATTAAAAGAATGAAGTGCAATCACCTGATTTCTGTCAGGTGAGGTGCCAGGTGACAGGAAAAGGAGAAGCACTGCACCCACCTTTGATGGAGAGACTTCATCAGTGGGCAAGGGGAGCACTACACGTGTCAATTATCTGGATTTCTGTTAAAAAAAAAATAAAAAAAAAACCACAAAAATACCCCACATCAATTGCAACACATTTTTTCCAAGTGTGTAAATCCCTAGGTGTTATTTTTCTAGCTTCTATGGTGTCCAAATTTTCCAGGTGGCATCAGATTTCTTATTATGAGCTGCCTTTCTTTGTTTTCAGACTGTCAAGGATGAAGAGAAAATCAGGTTAGATTGTTCATGGAATTACCACCTTGTCTTTAAACAGAACAAAACATTCTAATAACACATATTAGCAAGCCACACACTTAGGAGGAAAAAATTAAAAGCATTGTGTGGAAACACATTCTTTAAAAGCACCTGAATGTGATATAAGTAACAAATGTGATATCCAGAGGAGGGTGTGCAGCACTTGTTTTGTTTGTTATTAGGCTTTGCTAGCTTGATCATAACTCCCAGCACAAAATCTACTAAGACAGATCACTCAAAACAATACCACAGAGTATTTTAACACAAATAAAACATCTACCTTTTGTGGAAAAGCTAAAAAACAAAAAAAAAATACAAAATGTGAAATGGAATTGACTCCAGGCTTTCTTTTGTGCTGTTGTCCATATCTTCAAAATACCTTATCAAACAAAAGAAAAAAAAAAAGTGCTTACATCAATATTTTATTGAAATTCTTTCAGGGAAGACTTACATGCATTATATTTTCAAGATGAGATGCAGACTATTTTACTTGCACCAGAGAGCAATATATTGGATGATAGCTGACATTTGACTCCCAGGGTTTTTCTTTTATGAATCAAAATTCATTTATGGATAGTAAAGTAGAAGAGTGTGGCTAAGAAATCAATAAAAATGTTCTGTATTCTAGTTATGGAACATAGAGATAACCTTAAATCAACATTAAAGATGCTGGCCTGTGTAAACATTGACAAAGCCAAAGGAATTATTTTAAATAATAGACTCCAACAAGCAGGTATCAACAAGCTCTGTCAGTGGAGATTGCTGCCATCATTTATAGTGGTTCTAATTTATTCAGCATGTGAAAATGATCAGTGGCATGCAGATGATGGCCTAATTTATAAAAAAAAAATAATTCAAACTATATGACAACGTTCATCTTTCCTCTAAGAGCTCTAAAATTAAAAAAATACCCTTTAAATACATACCATTTATTTGCTGGCTCACCCCAGCTCCATGCCAGTTGACAATAGCAGTTTTGCTTTTATTTTCCTTATTGGCAATGACCACACAGAAATTACACTGCTGAACACACATAGCCCATGCATTAATAAATGCATAAATCAGCAAAGCCCATAAAATGAGTAGAACAAAGCCCTCATAGTTTTTAGGTGAAACAGTTTTTACAAACAGGCCCAACTGAAACAAAGAATCAATATCACCAGAAATAAAGAATGAGACTCATTCCAAACATTCCATTTGATATTTTTTATCAAATACTAATTCTAGGAAGACATATTCNCCTGTCAGCAACAGGAGTAAATAGACTGTCTCCAGCTCTCCGGGTTTCCTGGCAGTCAGGCAGTGTCCTGCCTGTTACAACTTGTTTTGGATGACAACAGGCCACATTCCACGTGAAGAGAGTGCGCCCATCTTCAGCTCACAGCAGCCTGCTTGTTTATTTTCAGCTGTAAGCATGTTTAAGATTCCTATAAACACATATTGAGCAGCAAACCAGAGAAACATGCTCAAAAAAAAAAAAAAAAAAAAAAAAAAAAAAAAAAAAAAAAAAAAAAAAAAAAAAAAAAAAAAAAAAAAAAAAACCCAAAAAAAACCCAAAAACAAAACCAAGAAAAAACAAACCCTATTTACACTCCATTTTACTTCAAGGATTTGATTTTTTTTTTTTTTAAACTTTTGCCTGTTTGCATACCAATGTGGAATTTTTCCCTGATTCAACAGGCTGTTTGAAATAGACCTGTTCTTGAGACCTCTCAGGTAGGGCTTTAGAACATCCACTTAATTTTCAGTTTATTCAGAAACAGTTCCATTCTATTACCCTAAATGATCATGTGTACTGCAGGAATACCTACAAGTATACACTTCATGACTGCAGCACATATCTTATTTATTGAGTCCTCTAAGAGGTGTTAGCACATATTGCTAACAAGGCTCCAGAACCTACACTTCTGAGAATATAAGATTTTTAGTAAAAAAGTCATATCTCCCCCTCATATATATTAAAAAAAACCCTTAAATATGCAACTTTAATGTACCCCAAAGACAAAAGCTAGACTCAAAGAAAAAAAAAATAAAAAATGCCTTTTTATCTTATGTTTTAAGCCATAGACCTGATTCTTCCACATTTAGCAATATTTGCAATACTGTTTATTCAAAATGTCAGGAAATCTTTGCCAGCAGGATCAACACAATGAGAATGAGGAATAAAACATGTCCAGGCAAAAGAAAGTGCTTTCTCTCCCCTTAGTCTGATGTTTTACTAAGAAATCAAAATATGCTTATTACTCTCTATTGGGAAATGCATATCCATTTCACCTTTATTTTATGAATATTTACTTAGCTGAATACCTAGTGCTGCTAATCCATATTTTATGAATATGCGTACACACACACAAAAGCTACATGGAAATTGTTTTCCTTATAACATAAAAGAACTTTTTCTCTTGGTGAGCATTTATTATTTTGATCAGGGAGAAGAGATAAACCCTGTCACCAGCCCAAAATATATATCTGAATCTTGACAAGTTTTTAACGCTACTTCCAAGCCATGGATTAATTTTTTTGCTTTCATATTGTACTTTTTGAGGCGGAAAAGGAGAGACTTTTTCCTTTCATCTTTTATTTTGTCCTTTATTCTGCCCTTACCTATGTTATCTTTAGTGAATAGTAATACATTTCATAAAGATAACATAATTATTTTCAGGACAATAAGCAGCAAAATGCCTCAGTGACTGAAGATAAAAATGCTTACCTTTTCACCACCCCCATCATGTGATATTTTTATATCAGCTATTTTCCTTTGCAAGGGTGCAGGGAGAAGCATCAGAAGCATTTTGTGCTCACATAGGAGAGAATAACTCAATACATGTATTTCAGAAACCATTTCTCAGGATCTTTCAATTCCATTTATTTCAAATAGCACTGCCTCAAGAGTAATAAATATACAACTGCCTGGGGACAAAACAAAGTGTTTAATCTTGATGCAAGAGGTTGCACAGTTGTTAAACAAGAGAACCTCAGAATTTGTTTCTATTAGACAGAAGGAGAGAAGAATTTTATTCAGGATACTTTCTTCCAACCAAAAGAATTAAGAAAAGTAGGTAGATTTTAGCAATAAAGATATTAAATAAATGTATATAGTATGAGGGGTTTGTATGCTGACCTTAAAGCTGCCTCTTTAACTTAGCAGGAGGCAGATCAGACAGGAAAAATCAGCATATTTTGTAATGGAGCTGTGTGTAGACACTGATGCATAAATCTTTGTTGAGGAACAAAATATGGGAGTAGTGCTTCCTTTACAAAAGTCTCATTTCTATCCCATTGCAGTGTATCACCACCATGAGCACCTACATATGTTCTTGCTTTGTTCAGCTCAAAAATACCATCCAGGCATTAAAATTGTTGCTTGGGCCTTTCGCATTTGTATTTATGTATTCAGGAATACCCTAAAGTGAGTCATTTTTTTCAGTGCTGTTACAGTGATTTAACCATTTAACTTTCATCTAAAGTGAAATTTTTAGTTTAAAAAAGGAGGAAACTGTCTCAAAAGACAAGAGAAACACCCACACTTTCACTTGAAAGGTGTTTTTAGAAGTGTCACTGTTTTGTCTAGTCATCCCAGCATACAACCTGTGTCCCAATGAACTACTTCTAAATTAACAACAGATAGCTAAAGAAGCTTAAAATGCAATATTATTGTTTAGTTTGGGTGAAGCAGTTCCAGTGTATAGAAATATGAATTTATCTGATTGTATTTTGGTGCACCTGAACAAGACATAGGTTTTTACTCCAAGAAAAGCAGGTTTCAACAATGCTTTTCCTAATTCACTGCTCTAGCTGAAGGCAACCCACTAGTTAGTATGGCAAAACATTAATTCTGACCAGAAATTCTAGCCTGTAAGATCCTCCACAACACCACTGCTCAATCAGACATCCATGTGCCACCAAACTGGAAACTCGGGTTCTTTCCAAGAAAGCAAAGATGACAGCAACTAATTCATCAGGAAAAATCTGGATTGGCAAAGCCCAAAACATTTATTTCAAAGTGGACAAAGTGGATCACAAAAAGATAAATTTAATTTTGGAGCTTTCTTTTTAGAAATAAATACTTATTTTTTCCCCTAGCAAGGGTGTATAATTGCAAGTTTTAGGCAAACAGAGCTAAAAAGGAAAAATGAATTAATGATGACACTCCTTAAATAATGGTTATCTTCAATCTGATGCTTTCATCTCAGCCATAAAACATTATAAAAGGCTTGAGATGAGACAACAGGGCAGCTAAATTCATTGAAAGACAAATTAATGAATGGCATCAATGATGTAAGCTCACAGAACTCATACAAGCTTACAGAATAGCAAATAATTGAGACCCAAAAGCTAAAAGTTCAGCAGGCAAAGATGAGAGTAAAGCTTACAAGCCTTTCTCCTTAAAGAAGACAATGTGATCCATGACATCTGAATACCAAAATAATGGTTCAGCACTCCTCACCTCTCACAGAGAGATTTTCTCTGAATGTTGCTATGCACTAGCCTACGAGTATGAAAAGCAAAGCTGCTTCTCCTCCACATGAACTACAGTTCAAACACCAAGTTGGGAATGCATTGGTGGGAAGACTCTGGTTTGGTTTGCATCTAAATTTGCCTAAGTTATAATTATTTGTGTCTTGTCCTAAAAATAAACAAAAAAAATTTTTTTTTTTTTGCATTAGCTAAACCTGATTTAAAAAAAATAGTATTTGAAAGTGTAATTTTGAGGAAGTACTACAACAAAATAAAAAGTTTTCCTTTTTTTTTTTTTTAAGAAAATACATATATATGTATATAAA